AGAAGCGTCAAGCGTCACGGAAAATATGTAACTGGCTACACCGCCACAAATTCTAACAAACTGCCCCTCTCTTTAGCTCCTTGGCAGCATGAGTAATAGAACTTATGGCATGAGTTAGACGCAAGAGTTCATTAAAGTACAATCTCTATATAAGCCGTTAAATAAAGGCTGACCTCTGCATAAAGCAACCATTCGAATCAATTTGAGTAATCAAGATCGCTTTATGGAGGGGTTGCATGAACAACGGCGAACAATTCCGGAACAGACATCGAGCAGTGGCCTCTGGTTATGTCGTCCATAACCGACTCAAGCGATCCACAAACACATCCCAGATCTATAAGCCTTCGACAGAACTGCATGAAACCAGTACCCCACAGGCGACTTCGTGGGATAAATGTCAGCACTGCTCCAATTACCCAATCCGTCCGCCTGTATAAATGTATGCATCCGTGCAATACACATGTGGGAAGGAATGGGTGAGTGGATTGTCGCAGAGGAAGCAGACGAATGGACGATGGATACTGATAAAAAGTCCATCAACAGAGGGAGAGAGATTCATGTTTCGCCGTGTAACCACCGCTTAGTCATATCAAAACACGGAAATAAATATTGGTATACGTGTCTGAATGACCCGAGAGCTTGTCTGCCGGCCCGGACGACAGACTTGGCAAGCTGCGGTCGAATCATCAGAAAAAAGTACCCTCTCCTGCACACCTGCATAAGACGCATTCCGCGGGTACGTAAAATAATTGTGCGCTCCGAGGTCGATTTTTTTAACTGGGTACAGTTGAGTGGTGGATATACCAGGAACGGTCGTACTGTAGAGACACCATGTGTTGAATTCTAGTTTCCTTAAACCAATGAAAACTCACTTTCTCTCACTATTGCCACTGAATGTCGGACCCACCATTTCTACAAATCTAAATTGACTTTTACAAAGCACTCTTCCTCTCCCTCCACCTCACTAACAAAGCACACTCCAGGTGCTGGATTTTCGGTGCCATGGAGTTCGTGCTGGTCGTGTAACAAATTGAGCATTCGATGCATTGCACAATTCCATCTCCTATATGATGTCACTTGGTGACTCGTGAGTGGCCTCAAAGGTAATGACATTTCTGCGATTCGCAATGACTCCGATGACAGTTCACTAAAGGCCATAGCGCTGCTTCTCTCCGTTTATCTCAGAATTGCGGTACAGCCTCAGTGGGTAGTTGGCAGTACACACTTCGCAATACGGTAAAATTGGACACAGTGATTAAGACCTGGTACCACCCAGTCTGCTCACAGAGGATGACAGGCATGTAAGGAGTGAAAAATCAGAACATTTAAGCCATAAATGCAAGAAACGAAATTCACAGCTTCTATCACGCAGCTGAGACGTGGTAAGAGGAGTCCTTTTAGTTAAAAGGGCTCTTGATGAACCCAACCCGGAAGCCAATCCCTTAAGGCCAGTTTGTTAGCAAAGTCTTAAGAGAAAGAACCTTTATTTAGCACTCGACATTACCTAGTCTTTTATATGACAAAGGAACTGATTTGTGACCACATTTCGTAAGGGCATGTGCTACTTTAAATGGCTATAGATGCTTGTAGATGGAAAGGGTCCTTTCGACTTCGCTGATGGGAGTTTAAAAAAATACCGTCCTATGAAAGTGCTTTGAGGTGGTTTGTCTGCAGGACGGCAAAAAGTACGGGCAAGCATTGCTCATTCATCCACACATGAGAGAATAAGGGATAGTGGGACTTGAAGGACGGCTAGACCGACAGACCCACTGGGGATGTCATGCACGCACACGAGCACGGACGCAAGAAGCGGGAAGTGATTAATACTCATACACGACGCGGGACTCAAGGGAGGCACGCACACTGCAAACCCACACGGGCAGACACCGGCAGCAGCGGCAGCAGAGACAGACAACGACGGCGATGAAACAGATGTCCCCGTCTCGTCTCGTCTTCACCTATCAGCACGACGTGCGCATGAAAGGGCAATTTGTCACCACTTTGAAAGTGGCCACACAATATACACACACGCTGGCGCACCCACTGTTATCGCCCTGTCTGCAGCCAAGGTGGTCAAACACCAGTGATAAAGCTTACTGCTCTGCGATGACTTTAATCCCTACAGAGGGCGCACAAAGGCACTACAGATCACTGAAAACTAACAAGGGAAAGAGTTCCAAAAGTCAAATGGTCACCACCATCACTAACCGGAAATTCACACATCCCCTACAGTAGATGGAAAAATGGCAATCAAAAAAAGGTCAGAATTAACCCGATTGTAAAAATCTGATTTATTGCCAAAATGCAAAATTTAGTTAAACGCACCTGAAAACCGCAGTCGGTGCATTTCACGCCCTGTGAGACAAGGCCCCAGATAAAGTGGGTGCAGAAATCGCACCAATGTGGCCCTCGGAAGGTGTGGATGCGAAAATTGTGCGCCTTTTCCACGTCGACGTGCACGAGAGTGGGGGCTGGCGTGGCCGTAGGACAAGTAATCGCAACCTCACCACTGATGCGCCCAGGTGTATGCATGTTTGCACCATCCAGATTCACCGGTAGAGTGGAGGCGAGAGTGCGGTGATGTTGGACACCGCCAAACGCCTTTCGGCGGCGGCTCTCTCCACCACTGCCATCGTCAACGGTGTGCTCCCCTTTGTTAGGCTGACGGGTCTTTAGACTGGCGTGGCCGCTGCTGCTACCGCTACTAGTGCTACTACGGGCGATGCCGGTGGTGTCAGTGGAGCAGTCAGGCTTGGCAACTGGTGCAGTGGAGGGCCCAAGTGCGAGCTCAATCCGCTGTTTTGAAAAGGGTAGCGAGGTGCTACGGGCCTGCCAACAAGGCAAAACGTGAAGGGAGCTTACCAATGGCATGAGTAACGCCACCAGAAGGGTAACCATGGTTAGGGTAGCCTTCATTCGCCTAATCGGAGTTAAATACGTGGGGTAGAATAAAGCTGTGCCAATAAAATCACTACATCTCAAATTCTAAAAGTTATTAAAATCAGAACTTCAGTAGCGTCATCTAAATTGGCGTTGAATATTGCAGTAAGATAGGTTGTTATAATGAAACAAGGGTAAAGTGAAACTGAGCGAAATAAGGACTGGTTAAGCTTAAGCAGCATGTGCAACTAAAAGATGCATCAATGTGCGCGGTTCTACACACATGGTAAAGAGGTGCAACAACACATACTTCAAAGGGGATAAGGCAAATAATTTTTTAGAGAAAATCAGTCTTACGTCAGTCATTGTCTACCCGTTATTTACGGGGTTTCATGCACTATGCCCTATGCAGTGCACCAAAAACCAGGGTGTTAGCATTAAAATTCAGGTGGATTGAGAGATTAGCCGATTTAGAAGTTAATCGTGTTTTTTTACCAGTTCCAAAATAAACCGGAAGAATCCTGTTTTCTGATTTAACAGGGCCAACAGACCCAGTTGTGGCCGAATCGGTGACTTCGGTTGATTTTTCGACTGAAACAATGAATGGTGGAAAGAAGGAGAGTTTTGCGCCCCTAAGAAGAGAGTGCAGGCATCTGAATAAAGTGCACCACCTGAACAGATAGTCGAAATAAACACGCATAGTGTAAAAACTTTAAAAGTAACTTGGCATTCAAAGGTAGGTAAATCCCGGAAATGATCTGCAACTGCACGATCGCCCCATGATACCGAAAAAAGGCAAATTGATAGTCAACATGAGCAGAGAGTTGTGAAGCGTTTAAATGTATCAATATACGGATGCACTAAGTGGGTCACTGAAAATTGATTGTTTAAAACGTTTCACCAGAGAAAATTGATAATAGTGGTTATTTAGCCTTAAATTACACAGGATAGAGCGGATAGAAAAATAAAATGGAAAGTTTCCTTGAAAAAGATGACAGCTCAGACCCAAATGCCGAAGCTAACAGGTCATTTTTAGGACTTTACTGGAGAATACTAACGTGACAGTTCAGTCTTTACAAAAAACCAAGCAAAAAATCCTTTTATTGTAAATGGTTAGGCAAAATAAGGTAAGCACATATGAAGCTTGCACATTAAGGATGAAAATATTGCATACAGGTTTGTCAACGGATCCGGACAATGCAGCAGAGGGTTTCTTGGGGGGATCGTTGATGACGCCGTTGGCGACCTCATCAGCAGCAGCACTCTGGGTTGATTGAATGAGACGAATGGGAGAAGGCTTTTTAGACCCATCGAACAGTTCGAGTGAGGATTGGCGTCGGTAATTGGCGCTGCTGATGGCAGCGACCGAGGGTCTGGTAGGCGGGGGAACGGCATTCACTGTATGGTAGCGTGTCTGAAACATTAAAACGCAGTCAATTGGAGGCGTTGAATGTTCGAATTGCGTAAAGACCAAAAGACCAAGCTATTGAGTCGTCGGAATGATGTCATGCTTAAGCCTATTTTTTTAGCCTCTGTGGTAAACTCATCCATCTATACCAGATGCAGAGGGCAAAACTCGAATTAAACAGTACCTCGTAAGACACATTACAACCAGTTATCGACTTTAAGACCGAACAAAAATGTAAACTTCACGTAGAACGAAGAGACTAAAAGGGCAACATTAAAAGGGCTACAGCAACTAGTGCTACATGAAGGAAAAAATGCCGAATATTCAATAGGCACTGAACCTATGGCATGAGTAGCATGGGCAGTTAATTGCAGTATTTCCAGGTAGTTTAGCGGGAATAAATCACAAGCAGCAGCAAAGTATTAGTCTAGAGAAGAAAGTGGTACTGAAAACAGACAAACAGATTAGTGATCGATGTTAATGAGATACTAATCACAAGCAAAAGCACAAGGTGTGTTTCGTTTTAAAAATTACAAGCAAAAAAGTAAACCATGACATTCCCAAAGAAAAGTATAAGACAAAAGCATAAAAGAAAGCCTAGTGAGGAACTCTAAAAGAACATACCTTGTAGTAAGGCGAGTGTTCATAGTTACTAGCCTCTGACAACTTCTGCAAAATATCAGCTCCACGGGTTTCGATGTGTAAATAAATCAATCCGTCAGCTACCAGTTGGTCAACAGATTCAAATTTCTTTTCTCCAACATAATGCAATTGAGAGGACGAATCGTAAAATAACTTATAATTTTTTGTTGAGTCGTCGAACCTAGCAATAGGATTGGTTCTTTGAGCCATCTTACCTAATGGCCAAAGTGAAGGCTCCATCCGCCCGCTGACTATCCCGAATAAGGTAGGCACCAGAAGGCTGTCCACTCAGAAGTTCCTCAGTCCCTTGTCGGCTCAAAGGACCATGATAAGCAGCACCATATTGATGTGGGACATGATTAAGATGCTCAAAACAGACTACCGGAAACGGTTTGGGAGCCTCTCGTTGCAAATTATAAACTAAAAAGAGGCCGAAAAATAACTAGAAAAGGAAATACGTTTATTTTGCCATGTTCGCATATCAGACCGACGGTCCACCATCGCATCTTCGTAAAAAGCTCAAGAAGAACTATCGTTGGTATTTCGCAATTGTATAGAAACCAGAACTAAAGCAAAGCGAAAACCAGATACAATAAAAACTCGAAAAATACTAGAATGCTGCGCCATAAAGTGAAGCAATTCAAAGAGTCGAGCACGTAAGGAAAAAATAAAATAGCATTAGAAGTAAAAGAAGTGAATGGTGAAAACAAACAAAACGGGCAGCAATGAATAGAAAACACAGAACACCAATGCAAGGGAGTGGGTAGCCACGCATAACCGTTACAAAGCTTTAAAAAAGCAGATGAACACATAATCATTTCAAAAGGATCTTGAGTTATTATGCGCTCTGCTAAGCAAAAAATCAAAAACAATGCTAAAACGCTTTTGATTTATTGCAATGTATTTGGCTTTAAATTCATGACTTCAGCGGATGCACGGAATTCCCCTATTTTTATTGACCTTATCACCTTCCCAGCAAAACCAATTTTTAAGAATTTATTAGCTACAAGACATAATTATCCTAAAATAAATTTCTTCTGGCTGCCAAGTTGAGTTAAAGACTGATTACATTAGTTTGTAAAATGTTTCCCTCCGTAAAACGCAAAGAGGGTGTGCTTGTAATACGATAGTGGTTTATCCCTCGGTTCTGGTGAGGCGCCACTTTTGTACTTCGAATTAGCCCCCTTGTACCTCGCTGGGTGGGCTGGCCTTTTGGGCCATGCCAATAGCCCAGACACCTTCTCCGTGCTGAATATATATATTCTGCCCGAGTATTTTGTCTTCTTTCATCTTCAGGGAGTCTCGGGACGCTACAGTGCTACTGTAATACGCTAGTGGTTTATCCCTCGGTGTTATAATGGGGCCACTTATGTACTTTGAATTAGCCCCCTTGTACCTCGCTGGGTGGGCTGGCCATTTGGGCCATGCCAATAGCCCAGACACCTTCTCTGCACTAGATATATTGTAATACGATAGTGGTTTATCCCTCGGTTCTGGTGAGGCGCCACTTTTGTACTTTGAATTAGCCCCCTTGTACCTTGCTGGGTGGGCTGGCCTTCGGGCCACGCCAGTGGCCCAGAAACCTTCTCCGTGCTGAATATATATGTTCTGCCCGAGTATTGTGTCTTCTTTCGTCTTCAGGGAGTCCCGGGACGCTACACTACTTTATGCAGGCTTTAATTTTGACTAAAGTTTGTCTATCATATTAAAATGTTGGCACTAACCTCCAAGAATGCGAATCGAGTCTGCGGTCGACATTTCCAACGAGGTATTCGAAATAAATTTAGGCTGCATAAAACTGTACGCTTTAAACAATGACCCCGTAATAATATGTAGCGTCCTGAAACTCCTCTGATGACGAAAGAAGACACAATACTCGGGCGATATATATTCAGCACAGAGAGGGTGTTTGGGCTATTAGCATGGCTCGAAGGCTAGCCAACCCAACAAAGTACAAGAAGGCTAGTTCAAAGTACAAAAGTAATGCCTTACCAATACCAAAATATAAACCACCATCGTATTACAGCTATCTTAGTGCCATTCTGAATGGCCCTATGGTCTTAACCAAGTTGATGCGCCTTGAGGGAAGAGTGGATTATAATGATAATCAGCGTTTACATGATTACAAATAGTGACATGAATTCACACCTGACCCACGTATTAAATGAAGTATTCATAGGTGCGAATGCAGTGTCACCTGTTGATCCTCTGTTCTGGTGAGCGGATCGCTCTGGATAGCCGCCATTGTACCTTGGCATGCGTGGTGATCCTTGGGCCTTATCAATAGCTTTAAGCCATGCAAATTGTAGATATGGATGTTCTGCTCGAGCATAAGGTCTCATTTCGTCCTCAAGGAATTCTCGGTGCGCTGCAGCTATTTGGTGGTGTGTTTTGCCTAAAAACAACTGATCGATGTTAAGTGGGAGATTTTTTAAGACTCAGTAGGATGTGCTAAATTTTTTCTGTAATTCACAGTGCTGGTAATTAGCATTTGAATTATTAAATGCTCATGATTTTGGAGAAATAACTTAAATATACCGTACTAACTAACTTAATTACGAGCAGTTTGATGTTCGCCCCAGTCTCAAACGCCAGTGTAAAATTGTTTGATGACATCTTTAACCTTAAAGATTTCAGCTGCACTCTTTGAATTGCAATTTCTGCTTTTATTGCGTTTGTTTAACTGAACATGAGCCCAGGCAAACCTTCTAAAATAGTCAAAAGACGGCTTGTCCGTTGTTGTAGGTTTCTGATTTGTCTCCTCCCATTAAGCCTTCATTTTTACGTGTATTTAAGTTGCCTGTAATCATAGATAAAGAAATGGACCAAGGCGACAGTAAAGATGTGGACGTTTGCCGTCAGATCCTCGAACTTGAAAACTTCGAGATGGCTTCTGGTGTTCTAAATCCAAGTCAATATCTGAATCTCCTTTGCCTTTACTTGAGGAACAATAACCTAATGGCTGCTCGGTTTTTGTGGAAGCGCATTCCAAGTGATTGCAAAACTGCAGATCCTTGCCTTCAGGCTGTCTGGAATCTAACTATTCTTCTTCTGAAGCGACGAAACGATGAATTCCTTTCTTCATGTCGGGAATTTTTGAGAAGCGATGATCTTTCTCCATCTGTCCAGTCTCACCTCTCAGCGGTATATCAGAGGATACAGCGCTCTACCATAGATCTGATCAAATCTGCTTTCTCTTGCATATCCATAGAAAAATTGTGCTCTATGATGAGTTTACCTCAGGATGAGGCTGTCAGTTTTATGGAAAACTGGACTCCTTCCTCCGATGGTCTCTTTTTAATCGGACCCTCTGTACCCCATCCGTGTGTTAAATGCGTTGACCAGGATAAAACGATAACAGATTTTATGCGAACACTCACAGAGTTCAGTTCGTTCATGGAAAATATGTGAAAAAAAAATACTTTAATATACCTAGTTTGTACCTGCATCTGCTCTTTTTGGGTGCTTGCCTATATTTTGAGCTCGCATTAACTGGTAATTATAGTACAAGTTCTGGTTCACATTAACTACTCAGTTTCTAATTCCCCTGATAACACACATCGCATTATCTCACAAGTTATTTGCGCTGGCTGTAACATTGATCTTTGTGTGTGCTTAATAATTATCACTGACTTGATTTCGAGTTTTGGTGACTTATGTCGACGCACGTTCAAGTACTAGGTGCACTAGTGCAATTCTCATTCCTAACTAGACTGAGGCTCTGCCAGAACAGGCTGTTCTGAACACTATCTCTGGTAGCTGCGGCAATGCCGTTGAGCCGTTACGTCTCCAGTGCCCGCAGTGCTCCTTTCATACTACCAGTTCCATCACTCTCCGTCAGCACGCCTGGACCAACCACTTGGGTGAAAATCAGACATTCCAGAGTCGCTTCTACACTTGTTCGAAGTGCACAGCTACCACCACCGACCTCAACATCCTCCGCGATCACTTTGCCCAGGCACACGGTATACGTGAACCTGATGTAAATCAATCCTGTTTTCTTTTTCCTTTTGTAAAAGGAATAATGGAAGTCTACTGACATTTCTTGCATTCTTGTAAATTGACGAACGTTTTTTTTGGAATGCCACAAATTTTCGGCTCATTTACTTCTCTTTTTCAGCTTGAACTGATCTTGAGTCAATCACGATTTTAGTGATTGTACTACGCCTTCAAAAGTTTATTCTTCCAAGTGCTATACGCTCGTTTTGATGCTTATGCACTATTGCTTTTCATATCAACGGCCATTACTTAAGTGTATTTCAGAACTAAGGTATCTGTGTTACCTGACCCTTAATTCATTAGTGGTGTTGTTGTGCATAAGTACTTAGTGATGACCAGCTCTGATTTTTCCAGCATTCATCTGGTCCTTTATATTTGTCTCACAAGTATCTCATTTGGAACTCTTGTGTTTTGCTCAACTGTTCGTATTTTTCCGAAATATTGTCCGACTGCAAACGGTTGTTCCAACTAGCTACTTTGAACTGAGTTGGCAATTGTGATCACGGGATTACAGCTTCATGAGGCAAGAATACATTATAAGCTTCGCTTTGTGCTTTTGACACGGAGTTATTGACTAAGTGAATATCTGCAAGCCAAAAAAGTAAATGATACTTAGATTGTTTTAAATACCGTTCTGTTTCTTAGGTCTACATGTCTAATAAAAGAAAATATTAGAAAAAATGACGGTCCGGTCTCATCACTGGCATTAACAAACATGCTATTCTAAGCTCTTCGCTTTTCTTCCCCATCCATATGGAATCACTGCAGCTGCTATCACCGCGTTACAGGTTAGAGTTATTGTCAGTTGGATCACTCTGACCCGCAGTGCAGTGTCTCAGCCGACGGCGCGCAGTCTCACTCCCCCTCCTTCTCCTCCTCCGCCTGTCGTAGAAGTTGAGGAGAGCGAAGATAATGAGATAATGGTGGTGAGAGATAACGGGCCTATCGAGATCCCTCCCGCCTCCCCGTCGTTTGCTGAACCTTCGCACGATCAGCCGACAGCTGCGCCGCCCCCATCACCGGCGGCGGAGTCGCAGGACTGGTCTCAGCTCATCAGCCGTGTGGACAAAAAGTTCTCTTGCCTCCTCTGCATCGCTTCCTCACCCTCCGTCTACTTTTACAACGGTCGAACTGAAGTAGTCTTTCATGTGGTTACGCGTCACCTCCTTCGGGTGAGTCCCCATCGGTATATCTGCTCGGTTCCTGGACGGCACTGCAATTCTCGAAATGCCTATTTTGCATTTCTGTAGAAAGAAATCGAAGATGATCTTGCTCACCACAGGAAGTTGACAAATAAAGTCAAACAACGAATCGGTGTCCTTTTCGTCGACGGGATGCACATCCGTTCTGGTGTTCACTACAAGGTTTGTGGTTGCTTAATAGGTTAATGATGCCTACTGTAAGAATATAAGTAGAAACGTCTTCGTTTTGTCTAGGATGCAGAACGAGTTGAGGCGGCACTCTTTCACTCGGTTGAGTTACATCTACGCTGGAAAGCGGTCCTTGGAGCTGACGCCTCCTTGCCTCCGCAGAACATGTTTACCTGCTCTGGATGTCAGGCTGTGTTCCACAGTGAACAGGTTTGTTCTCGCTTTGCTAAGTGGCAAGTCGAGTTCTGGCTCGATTAGCAATCGCCTTCTTATCTCCGTCGCCTTTGTGATTATGTGATTGTGGTTCTACTTTAGGGTTCAAATGTTAGATAAGTCACTTTGTTTTTCGCCGTCCATCCTTCTATTTATTTAAAACAAACACAGGCTTGGGATCCTACGATTAAGCGAAATTTCAGAAAGTGTTTGCAAAATTTTTTTCCAATTTCTGATGTTCATTCTATTTCGGTATTATAAATTTATGCAAGGAGAATTTGTGCTAAGGTAAATTCGGTACTAAATTAAATGGTGGGGAACTAATGTCGCCTCATCATTGCTATCCCTAGAGGCGCCTCCTGCACAATCCTAGTGGAATAATTACTCAATCGAGTTGTCGTTCATCCTGATGAAGTGGCTCCCATCTGACTTGCTGTTTTTACAATAAATATTTGCGTCCCTTATATTATAGTAAAAAACGCGTTATTCGTTCTTATTCTACTAGGTATCAATCGGTGTAGAAATGTTTGCCTTAAGCTTGCATATGACTCAAGCCCTATAACTCACTTCGCGCTTATCTTGCCTAACTTTGTTTCAAACCTGATTTTCTTTCAAATGGTTTTTATTGGGAAGGTTAGATAGGCAAAACAGAAGAAATCCACTGCTAGTGTCCCTCTCCGTTTCTGAGATTCTGCAGTTGGTGTTGTGCTGTACTGTTACTGTAGCTGGCAGTGAATCACATAAATCAGGAGCTGCGAGCTCAACTGCCGGACTTTATGCGCGCCCGCTCCTGCCCCTGGTCTCTGAGCGCCCGAGATGAGTGGGTGTGGTGTGTGCCCGACCTTCAACCCTCACCGACATCGCAGCAGCAGCAGCAGCCTCCACCACCATCACAGACTGTGCTTGCTTCCGCTGTACCCTCACCGCCTTTCCGTGACTCCCTCTCCACAACCTCGCATACCATGGAGACTGGGCTCCCCAAGAGCCTCCTCTTTGCCAGCATCAACAACGCCGCCGCCTCCCCCTCCTCTTCTGCATCTCGCCGATTGTGATTAACCAGGTGATTCACTCTCGCTGTGATATATGGCTTCGCGTTTCTGCGTTATTACCTTCGTCTACCGTGTCCTTCTTTATCATCTGTTTTGTATTTTATGTCTCAATTTTACCGATCTATGTTGTTGTCATTTCATATTCCATAATTTAATCTTATTTTAGTTTGGCTTTTCCCTTCGATTTTGATTCGTCAAAGGTGTGCGGAGGTCAGCACATGAATATTTTATTTCATCCGCATGCACGAGTTTCGTGCTACTGCTTAGGCTTAAATGCCTACATCAAAAACGCTTGAGACAACAACTAAACACTGTAATTAACCAGCCAGCGCTATGCCTTCCATCCTTGCCGCTTCTTTGTAAACTCTCTCGTTTTGAGTGTCTCGGTCTTCATGGTAGGCTTTACAAATACTTTTTCTGTAACATAAACCACCATCGGTAATATCTATCTGCAGGTGGGATCGAAATTCACGTGCCTCAAGCTTCTCAATCACAGCATCTCCTTGAAGGCTAGGGTCACTACTCGAGTTGTGACTTGGCAATGCTAAGTTAGATGTGTAGTTAAATGATTTATTTTACAAGGAATCCCATGATAAGTAATTACAGCTTTCAGAAGACCTCACGGTAGTGATCAATTCTACTATAGGTACACACGTGTCCAGTACTCAATGGTGTAAGTTTAATTTCTTTTTGATAGAAGTTGATAGCAGCTCTAAGTTATGCTCATTTTTGCTTCTTTTTCTATGGTTTGCATAAACTGTTAGAGATCTTGTAAGTGTAATTTATGTGTGCTGATAGTAAAGTGCAGTTCTCCAACGTATGTGCGTGCGTTTAAAATAAAGTACTAACTACTAAAAAAATATCGGAATACCATAGAAGATGACTAAAAGTGTCCCATTTGAAAACTACATTGGGCTCTTTCATGATAGGTGGCACTGCGAACAATCTGGCTACATTAGAAAGGTGTGAATAATTCAGCACACTCTACCAGCATTACATGTGCACCACGCTAGAATTTTCTTGACTCAACCCGC